GGCTTTATTATGGCAGAGCTGCATACTAGCTTTTCAACATCAGAAAAACTTTACAGCATGAAAGAAAAATGTATATGTTGAGAAGGAACATGAATGCTAAAAACACATTGTTACTATAAATCCCGAACCTGAGACACAGCTCACAATGTGGTGGTACTAATAGTGCAATTTTAAACCTATTTAAGCTGGGAAATTTGTTATCAGGTGACTCATACATGTGGGGAAATCCAGTCCATTTGTGCCAAAGATGAAATAAAGTGATTAGGTATTTAAATGTTGAGATTCTTTTCAGTCTTTTCAGTGAATGAATTGCAGTAACCTTCGATAGGGAGAAATGTAAGAGGGTAGTTACTCATCAACTTAAAAACTGTTAAAAGGCTCTCTGGATTCAAATAATAAAACCTTATATCTATAACACATTTATATTTAAATAGCATAAGTATTTTTATTTATTTTTTGAAATATTCAAAAAGTTCAAGAAAAGTTAAGTAGAGTATCAAGAACTTTCTGTTCTTAACCATTTGCGAGTAAGTACAGATCTAATGCTATCATTCCCAGATGCTTTTTTTGTGTATTTCCTATAAACAAGGACTCTCTACTACAATCACAATTAAAATTAGAAAATTAACATTGATATATGACTGCTATATAATCCTCAGGTTCTACTCAAGTTCTGTCTACTTCAATAAAATGTTTTGTAGCAACAGGATCCACTTAGCATCACACCTTGTGTTCAGTATGTCTCTCTAGTCTCCCTTCACCTGGAAAGTGGGCGTGGAGGAAGGGAGCTGGAACTTCAGCAGCCTTGATGGCACACTCATTCTCCCCTCATCCAGAAGTGGCTGGTCTCCTCCTCCTATCCAAGGCCAGTCCATCCTGCTGAGCTCCAGATCCATTGGGAAGTCTCTTTTCTTTCCTCATTCATTATTAGATCACCCACTGTTATAAATACGACCATGTTCCTTTTAACTTTAAAAAATAAAGTAACCAATCAACCCTAACCAAGGCAACCCCCAATTCCTCCACCTCCAAATTCCAGCCACTCAACTGCGTTCTTGCCTTTAACAACAAAGTTCTGGAAGAACAACAGGGAAACCTCCCTGTCTCCCATTAATCTCTCAATTCACTGCATTTTTGCTTTGATTCTCCTAACTCTTCTGAAATCGCTTTGTCTAAAGTTACCAATGACTATTTTGTTCACTTTAATCTCATAGCAATTTTTAAAGACCCAGTCATTCGAATCCTATATAATAAAAGGCTAATATGCAAATCGACCGAACGGCAGAATGACTGGTTACTAAGATGCGCACTGACCATTAGGGGGCAGACGCTTAACGCAGGAGTTGCCCCCTGGTGGTCAGTGCACTCCCACAGGGAGAGCACCATTCAGCCAGAAGCTGGGTTCACAGCAGTCGGATATCCCCCAAGGGCTCCTGTACTGTGAGAGGGCGCAGGCCAGGCTGAGGGACCTTCTGAGTGCATGAATTTTGTGCACCAGGCCTCTGGTTAAAAAATAATGGTCCTCACAGTATCTTAAATAATAAGGTGTCTAAAGTAGAATTAAGTTTCCTTCTATCTTCTTTCCCTTCATTGCTTCTTTTCTCTAAATAAAAATTCCACCACGCCATACATGTTATTCTCTAACTTGCTCTTCAATAACAACATATCAAGTCTATACTTCCAAATCAATACATATAAGTCTATATAATTACAGTGGAATTTCAGTTCTCAAACTTAATTCGATCTGGAAGGCTGTTTGAAAACCAAATCATTTTTTCCCATTAGAAATAATGTAAATTTAATTAATCCATTCCAAACCCCCAAATAATTCTGTTTTAACCTTTCTTTTTTTTTTAATATATTTTATTGATTTTTTACAGAGAGCAAGGGAGAGAGATAGAGAGTTAGAAACATCGATGAGAGAGAAACATCTATCAGCTGCCTCCTGCACATCTCCTACTGGGGATGTGCCTGCAACCAAGGTACATGCCCTTGACCGGAATCGAACCTGGGACCTTCCAGTCCGCAGGCTGACGCTCTATCCACTGAGCCAAACCGGTCTCAGCTTAACCTTTCTTATATATGGTACATGTCTAATGTACTATTTAATCTATAAATAAACACTTTAAAAACAAAAAGTACATGACATTAAATGAAAATTTAACAAAAAGAATGTACAGTTAAAAATGAAAATTTAATAATGAGAAGCAACAAAAGCAAAAGAAAAGAAAAGAAAAGAAAAGAAAATATTCACAACACAATTTCCTGAGATGTGCATTTTGTGAGGTTTAGTGGTAAACTGACTCATACTCATGCATTCTCTCCTTTGTTTGTCACCTGAGAGGCGTGTGACTGATAATACAGGCATCAGCATGGAAGGGATGTCAGGTTGAGAAGTGAATTGCTCAGGATGGAACACATTTGAGAATCGAGGTTTGACCGTATTTTTTAAAATATATTTTTATTGATTTCAGAGAGGGAGAGAGAGATAGAAACACCAATGATGAGAGAGAATCATTGATCAGGTGCCTCCTGCACGCAACCTGGGCATGTGCCCTTGACTGGAATCAAACCTGGGACCCTTCAGTCTTCAGGCTGACGCTCTATCCACTGGGTCAGACCAGCTAGGGCTTGACTGTATTTTTAACAGCGGTATAGAATTCCACAATAAAGATATACCATTGTTCATTCAACTATTCCTGTTGAAGAGCATTCAGGTTCTTTTGATTAGGTTGAACCATACAAAATTGTCATGTTTGCAGGCTTTCTTTGTTGTATTTATTTTTATTTTTTTTGAGAGAGAGAGAGAGAGAGAGAGAGAGTTGTTGCTCCACTTATTTATGTAGTTATTGGTTGATTCTTGTATGTGCCCTGATCAGGGATCAAACTCACAACCTTGGCGTATTGGAACAAGACTTTAGCCAACTGAACTACCCAGCCAGGGCTGTTGTGTTTACTTTCTATTACAAACAATATTATAATAAATATCCACATACACATATCTCTGTTAACTTTGGCTTTTTGTGGATAGGAAGCTGTGGGATTCTTGTTTAAAAGGGGTGTATGTTCTACTCATTGAAAGTAGATTGCCTTCCTAAAATACTGGTATAATGTATGGTCGCATCAATGACCTTTTGGGAAGTTATGCCACATGCCCTTTTTTCAGTGCTTCCCTTAGCAGACTTCTCCATAATCCATTGGATATGTCGTTACTGATCACACCTTCTCTTGTGCCACCACTGTAAACCAGTCTTCCACCTGTCTCTTTTTGGTCTCTTTCCCAAGTGTCATAGATAATTTTAAAATTCCCTAGCTTCTCTTCTGTTTTTTTCCTAGATGCTTGTATACCACATGGCTCTTCCCTAGCTCATTTTTTTCTAGTCACACTGCATGCTCTGGTCTCCTGTTAGATAAGTTTATGGTTTCAACTATAATCTCTATCTGCCCTCAGCCCACCAGTGAGGTGGCCCAAAGGCAACTTCCCCTGAATTAGAATAGGGTTTCCCTTCCTGAAGACGTTTTCCTGTCATTGTCCGGAAAACTGCGGTAATTATTATTCAAGCACACTATTCAATATTCTTCAGTATGTCCCTTGGGTTGTGTGGTGGCCAAGCTCCACAATCATCATTGATAGCTGTGTTTTCCATTTTTCCCCTGAGTTCAAACTTTCATATAACAAATTTCCAGCTGGGTGTTTTTATAGGCACTGCCGATATAAAAGAACCATTGTTTAACTACTATCATCATCACCCCCTCTTGAAATACTCCTTATGTATTTCTTAGTAAATGAGACTCCCATTCACTGGGGTCCATAATTCAGAAACTTCATTCTACATATCTCTCTCTCAATTCAAACCTAATAGGTCACCAAGTCCTACTGCTGTGATTTCATATTCCTGAAATCCATTTCTTTTCAGCCCCCAGTGCTGCTGTCCTGACCATCCTTTTCAGAGACTAAAAATAACTTCTCACTGGTCTTCCTACTTTTTCCTTTGCCTCCCTTCTATTATCTACACTGCTGCCAGAGAACTTCTTTAATATGCAAACCAAGGAGAAAAACCTTTAATGTCCACATTGTTAAGAGGTTAAAATCTAAACATCTTAGCACAACTTTAAACAGCTCTTTATTACCCAATACCTACTTAATGATCTTTACTCATTTCCTGACACTCTCTAAAAGCAATCTATGCTTCAGCTATATGGGTCTACTTCCAAATCCCCAACATGCTGAGCGCGCTCTAACAATTCCATGCCTTTGCCATGCTATCCTTCTGCTTGGAATTCCTAGCCAGTCTTGTTGCCCTGAAAAACTCTTACTTATAGTTCAAACCTCAGTTTTAGGGTTATTTTCCTTCTGTAAATTCTTCAGGCAGACTTAAACACTTTTTTTTAATTTTAAAATTTTTTCATTAAAAAGTTAAAAAAAATTATATAAGTAATACATTATCCTTGTACAAATGCTACTACAAAAAAGCAAAAGTTCCTCCATCCCACCTGATGTCTTCTGAGACTCTCATATGTACAACAAATCTACCCTCTCTGTGGGTCTTTAAGAAATATACATGCAGGACAATACCGTTCTGTACCGTGCTTTTTTCCCATTGAATAGTACATCATGAACCCCTTCTGGTTCAGGCCATACAGCTCTGAGTCGTTGGATGGCTGGATGTCACTCACATTCAGTGTCCTGGGCATACTGTAACTTACTTTATCAACCCCTTTGATGATGGCACATTGGTTGACTTCTTGCTTTGCTATTTTAGGCAATGCTGACATGAATGTCCTTTCATATATAATATAACTATCTTTTATATGTAAATGCAAATTATACATAATGTACATATTTCCTTGCACTTCCACAAGTATGTCTGTAGGCTTGATTCATTGGTGAAAGATAATGCCCATCCCTCTCACCTTTCTCTATTTGACAGATTTCTGACAGTTTTACTTGTTAACCAAAAAATGACTTCAGTTTCAAAATATGGTGAAACATACACACACACACACACACACACAAGTATATCCATATGTATATTCAATGTAGTACATATTATTCAATATAACGTGGAGCAGACACTGTGTGAGGACTTGGTGAACCTCAGGACTGAAAGGATTTCTTGGCCCGCTCGCCTGGAAAGTGCGGTGGTCCCCTGCAGACCTCTCACCTTCATTGTTTCCAAAATGTCTTCTGGATTGTTCTCCTTAATGGTGACTAAATAGAACAGCCCTCTTGGCGAAAGGAGATCTGGAACCAGTGGAAAGAATCTGTCCATGTCTTCGCGACCATTTCTACCACCAGCCCAAGCTGCTTCTGTTCCATGACTTCCTACCTCTTCAGGCGGAGTCACTACATATGGGGGATTAAACACCAGAAGATCAAGCTTCTCCTTCAGTCTTGGTAGCAAGCCTTTGACCAAATCGGTAATTACGGGATGCACGTGGACTCTGTTACAGCGTGCTGTCTCCAGGGTGCAAGCTGCTGCTTTGGGGTTGATGTCAGTGCACATGTACAGGCCCTGGGGGCCTATCATGGAGGCGAAGAGTGTGGATACCACTCCAGACCCCGATCCTACTTCCGGGCATAGCTCCACTCGCATGAGCTCAGCCGCCGCTGCCTCCAGAGCGTCCAGGAGCAGGAAGGTGTCCCCTGCAGACGCGTGCACTTGAGTTCCTTGATAGCATGGGTACACTCCTGCACTATAGAAATTTTAATTATTTGTTATATTAATGTTTCCAAACTAGGTTGTAAGCCCTTTAGGGTAGGGGCTATGATTAATCTCATGTTTCATCCCCTGCATTTGACACACTGACTGGCATTGATTATTTACTAGGTAATTGAATGAATGCAAAAACAAATTAGTTAGGTAGTGAGAAGAATAGTATCTAGGCTAGGGTTTAAGCTTCAGCTATAGATTGGCACTTAAGTACCTTTAAAAAATTGTAAAAGAATATATAATACATTAAAGGAAACTTAAGAACAGGATAGTAAATATATTATTTCACCATCCTAATGCCTGTTTTAGTGCATTTACTTTCAGTCTTTGCTCAAATATGTGAGGTATAGATATATATTTATATATATGTCAGATATATAACATGTGTGTTTATATTTATATGTTTATATTTTACATAGCTGTAATTAAAATGTACATGCATTTTTACATGCTTTTAAGTTTAGCTAACTATAAACATTTATAACACTGTTGCATTGTCCTCCAAAGTATTATTTTTCAGCATTGTATATCTCATTTTCTTACATAGGTTGATAGCCTAAAAAATCTTAGGCTGCCCTAGCCAGTGTGGGTCAGTTGGTTGAGTGTTGTCCTGTGCACCAAAAAGTCTTGGGTTTGATTCCTGGTCAGGGCCTATACCCAGGTTGTGGGTTCGATCCCCAGTGGGGGTGTGTACAGAAGGCAACCGATCAAGGTTTCTCTCTCTCTCTCTCTCTCTCTCTCCCCTTCCCCTTCCTCTAAGATCTATAAAAACATTTTAAAAAATAAAAATCAGGTTTTACTGGGTTTTCTATTATAAATAGGAAGAGAATAAGGTTTTGTGAAACATGAAATTGATACAGTTTTGAGGGATGTTTAAAAAAAAGAATACAAATTATCATACTTTTGCAAATAGGACAATGCGACCACTTTATTAGGGTCCCTCCATGGAATCTGGAAGGGGCCTGGGAAAGTGAGAGGTCCTCCAGATTGTTTTATTGTCTTCACTGTTGACTATCTTCAATGATAAATAAGTCTACAATAAACATTTTGAGCATGTAATTTTTGTCTTCTATTATTTCCCAAGAATCCAAGTTACTATGACACAATTCATCTTAAGGGGGTTGAGAAAGAAAGGAAATGGTTACATAGTGAACAGTTAACTTACACATTATTTAATTTAATCGCTCTTATAAGCCTGAAGAAGGCATTATCCCCACTTTACAGAGGAGAAAACTGAGGTGCAGTGCATGTATATATCATGCCCAAAGTCACACAGCTAGCAACTCACAGGGTTGCATCCTCACTCATGCCTCCTTCCAAAGCTCATGCCGTCATCACTGACATCATGGAGTCTCCACAGTCTCAGTTGCTTTACAGTAATACACTCCCTAGGCCAGTGATGGCGAACCTATGACACGCGTGTCAGAGGTGACACGTGAACTCATTTTTTTGGTTGATTTTTCTGTTAAATGGCATTTAAATATATAAAATAAATATCAAAAATATACATCTTTGTTTTACTATGGTTGCAAATATCAAAAAGTTTCTATCTGTGACACGGCACCAGAGTTAAGTTAGGGTTTTTCAAAATGCTGACACGCCAAGCTCAAAAGGTTCGCCATCACTGCCCTAGGCTATTGCTGGAGGTCAGAATACAAAACTTGCAGCGTATTGACATAGTTTTTGGAAGAAGAGCACAATGGTGGCTAGGCTTTCATAGGTAAAATCAGGATAAAGTGATGTGTGTGGGTGCTTCTGTCTCTCAGTCTTACAGATGTGGATTGCAGCAGACATTTCTTGGAAGGAGGAGAGTGAAGTCAGAATACCTGTTTTGGGTCCTGCTATTCGGGATTTGAGTGGCCTTGGCGAAGTCATTGAACTCCTCAGGTTCTCCTTTCCTTCATTTTTGCAATAAGGATCGTAAGTAACAAAACCTGCCTCACTCCAGGGTGGTTGTAAGCGTCAGATACGATCATGTGTGTGTAAGCACTTGGTGAAATCCAATGTCCCTGAGTTACTAGTAACATTGCAGGAGTAGCTCCCCTTCCTCGCCCATGGGCCCCAGGGGAGGGCGTGTGACAGCTGGGCAGAGGGACCTGCTGGCTCCATGACAGCTGATTTAACTCCTGGCGCGCCCTCCTGGACTGAGCAGCCCCGCAATGCCAGGGGGTGTCTGGGTCGCTGCTCTTGAATGCCCCGTGCAGCGGCCGCAGCAGAGGCTGCGCCAATAAGTCTGAGATTCTGGGGGATCCTCTCCTCCTCAAGCTGCGAACTGATCATCAAAACATTGTGTTATAATAATATAAACACGACTAGTAAAACCCCAAATACACTCCCGGTCCAACTGTGTCCCTTTTGCTCTGTCTTAGGTGCTGACGCATTTATCCAGGCATTTTAGCTGCCAGCTTAGTAGAAATCTTTAGTCCTGGTCTGACTTAATTCTGGGGGAAGTCTGCAGTTCTGGGAAACCAGGGGAAAAATAAAAATCTCAGGTTCAGTTGTCGTTTCAACATCCTTCACCAGATCCACGTTTAAAGCTGGTGTAAGTAGCACTGGCTTCTATTTTTTCATTAAAAAAAAAATGCTTAAACCAATTTCCAAGCCTGGAAGATTGAGCTCATCAGCCCCGTGTCGGGATCCGCGTGGCTCCCGGAGCGAGGACCTGCAGCTCAGCCGCTCCCGGC